GAATTTTTTAACCAATGAGGCAACTGGTGATTCTCTGAATCTGACTCTTAAAAAAAAAAAAAAAAAACGTGTGCAGCCAATATTAGCACTGCAAATGTGATGCTGATTTTATGCAATTCAAAAACAAAAAGTTCATATTAAGTGACTTACTTAAAAGAACAATATTGTCTGATTTGCTCTAGCACCAACAAAAATGGTTCCATGCACCGAATGTCTATTTACACTAGTCTAAGAGCAAATCTGGTTGGGATTGACATCGTTAGAAAAGACCCCTGTTCAAAAGCAGTTGGGAGTAAGACATGGTGGTAAGTTACGACGTGATCGACCCGAGTTCGAACTCCCGTTCTTCTCCCTTTTCCCATCAGATATCTGCCATTGTTTGCATTAAGTATTAATAGCATCTAATTACTATCACTTATTGCTTTTTTTTTTACATAGTGTAAATAGAATCTATGGCTATTTGCACTTACTGTAAATAGCATCTTTCGCTATTTGCACTTAATGCAAATAACCACTGCCTTCAAAATAAATTCACATCAGAAGAGTTGCGCGTTTGGTTCCTGAATGAAGCCGCGTTTTGAACGAATGATTCATTCGTAAAATCACTGCTTCATTCCTGAATGAATCAGTCGTTTTGAACGAACCGAATGATTCCATGACTCTTTCATTAAGACAGTGATTTGCCACCACCTACTGGCGGTGTTAGTTTCATATTTTAAAATATAATTTATTCAGATGGGTGGATTGTGTTTCTACACTTTGACTGCAGCCCACCAATTTCTATTGATTAGACATGCTTTGGAAAGTCACACCTATCTAAGGTCTAACATCTGGAAATGCATATCTGAGCCTGCAGAGACAGGATTGTGTCGAGGCACAGATCTGGGGAAGGCTACCAAACATTTTGCTGCATTGAAGATTCCTGAGAGACCTGTGGCCATCATAATTCTTAAATTAAAAGGTTTGGAACAACCAGGACTCTTTCTAGAGCTGGCTGCTTTGCCAAACTATCGGGAGGATGGCCGTGCAGAGAGGTGACCAAACACCCGATGGTCACTGTTGAGCTCCATTATTGAGATCATATGTGCAGATAGGAAAGACTTGCGAAAGGACAACCATCACTGCAACACCATCATATGAGTGATGATGATCCAATCAATATCCCATGGACAAAATCAAGTCATGCCCTATATTTTTTTCTTGTTAGTCTTGTTAGTTCACTCGGATACACTTCTCTGTACAGAAGAAAAGACAATCGCAAACATTTTCAAATAAGTATTGTCAAACTTGGTGGACCTCCAGAAAATTTCTGTGGCATTATCAATATAAATATCACATGAGCCATGATCTAGCTTTGCTTGCAAAGACTGAGATGCTCCTTTTATACCCAAACATGACACCTTCACCTATTACCAATTCACCTGTTCACTGTGAACTGTTTCAAAACAGTGTAATTTGGATATTCTATAAACTTTTCCCTTTTGTTTTGCCTCTGTCCCAGCTTTTTTGGAGTGTGTTGCAGCCATCAAAATCAAAATCTGTTTATATTTACAAAATGCCTTTATGTTGAAAACTTTGGAAATCTTTTCTTTGTACTTTGTGTCAATTAAATAAAAGTTAAAAAGGATTAACAAATCACAGATACTTGATTTTTTTTCTTCTCCATTTTGCAAAACGTCCCAACTTTTCTGGAATTGTGGTTGTATTAATGAAAATAAAGTATTATTTAAAAGGTTCTTCATAGCTTTATATTAAGGTTATAAAAAAGCTTCTGCTTTTCTGCTATTGTTACAAGCCCAATCATTTAGCGCCATTTTTCTTAAGAGTGGGGGTTGGATTGTTCAATCAGAGAACATTTAGAAATATAACTGAATGGGAACGTTATAAAAAGGTTCTTAGAGCATATTTTTGATAACTAGGGTTTTACCTCATACATGGGTTAATATTTCCAGATTAATTTAAATTCTAAAAAAAAAAATGGAAACACTACACATCTGCGTTTATATGATATTCCACCTAGAAAACAGTAGAGGGAAACATTGAGCAGATCAAGTGTTTGAAGCCACTTTAGGTTTGAGAGGGTCTTAACAGCTCCCTCTAGTGACTTAAAAAGGAAATGTCAACCCATGACACTTCTCCTCTTCTCTGCCTTTCTCTTTTAATCTCTGCAAAATGTAGCAGGTCAGATAGTGTGGAGATCAACCTGCATTCTTTGGCTCAAAACATTTTTCATGACTATGTGTGGTTCAGACTTTTAATTTTGCACTTTTCACAGTTTGCTTCAATGACAGTGTACAGCCTGTGTTGATTCCTCTGTCACTCGATTTGATAAAAGGCCAAACTTAAGATCTAAATGGCAATTTATGAAGACCACATAAATAAGCAGTACTATTTGTGAGTCTCTGCCCCATGTCTGTCTCTGACTGGCTACTATTTCTGCTGGTAACACTTCTCCAGGGTTAAAACCCTAATGTTACTGTAAGGAGCTTATGGCTTGCCTCTTTCCCAGGCTCAATCCCTTTCTCCTCCCTCTTAAGAGTGCAGCCTGTAAGCACACACCTGATACATCTTTTCAAAGGTAAGTTTAAATACATTTATTTTGCTTAATGTGTAAATTGAATCTGGAAAATGTTATTTACAGGTTTTTGATGGTGTCTATGCAACAAAAGCAAGTCCTTCTTTTAATCCCAGCACAGTTTACTGCTCTGTTTAGGTAAACAGATTGCATTAGTGAGTTTGAATGCAGTCAAATATTGAACATTACTGTAACTCTGGTAACATGAAAATTTTAGTTATTGGTTACAATTGTAATTGAGAAGATTAATTGATGAGCGTTAATATTTATAATATAATTTGTATTATATATTTATAATATAATTATTTATAATATAATATTTATGACATGCTGTCGGCGCCAATAGCCTAGTGGGCAGTGCGCCCATATATAGTGCCGTTGCGCTCAGTGCGTCCCGAGTTCGAGTCCCGGCTCGTGGACCATTCCCGATCTCTCCCCCCCCCCCCCCCCTCTCTCTCTCCTACTTCGCTTCCTGCCACTGCTATACTGTCCTGTAAAAATGCCAAAAATATATTTATAATATGCTTATTTCCATTTGCAACACTAAACATTTGTACGCTCATTTCTACTTCTTATCTGTATATTTAGCGCACACACCATGGCAAAAATGAACATTTAAAAACCCATGAAATGGTGAAAGTTTACTTCCTGGTGTTGATGCATTTTCTACTGAAATGGGAAGTTTGGTCAGGACATATCGGACAGTGTGTCTTTTTAAAAAATAGCATAAATAAATAAATAACATAATAAATAACGTTATTTTGTGTGGAGCTGGTATGTTATCACACACTTTAGCTGCTTCAGGATGAGTTCAACAACACTATGTGTATTTTAAGACTTTAATCTCTCAGAACACGATTTCTGTCTGCTACTTTCACTGTTAAAAAAGGGAAATCTGTTCATAGAACTTGACTGAAGTTATAATAATAAATAAAATATCATTATAAATATATAAAGTTGCCACGAAGTACAATCAGCCATCACTGTAACAATTACAGACTTAAAAAAAAACTAAGAAGATGTGATGATTGTATTCAAACTGATAACATAACATGAATTCTAATGAGGAAAAAAAAAGTTTATGCCACAATATCACTTTATGCCACTTTATGCCTCAACAATTTGTACATGAAACACAGCAAAAGAAACGATCAATTATCATTTTATAGGACCAAACACATCCTGACATCACAAGACAGTAAGTAACTAAACTCAACAACAACAATGTAAATGAAAATAAGAATATGGGTCTGAAACACAGAATAATTTCCCCCAATTTAGGCCGATTTGAATTATAAAAATGCATGAGTCCAACTCTACCTGCATTGCTTTTTGAATTGTTTTAAAAGTAATTGTTTGTTTTAATAAAGTAAAGCTGCATTAATATGCATTACTTCTGTTGAAGATGTTCATTTTTCACCACATTTATTGAATGTATGCTCTTATTAATCTTGACTTATTTTATCTGAACATTATATTTTGTGAGATTTATCCTCCTGTACAGTTTTGAGGTTAAATTACTCTCTCTCTCTCTCTCGCTCTCTCTCGCGTCATTCGATAATACTGATCTGTGAATTTATTTTATGTTGGATTTTTTTTTTTTTTTTTTTTTTTGGATATTAATTTACTCAAAAATTTATAGACACGTTGTTTTTCGTTTTAAAGTAAATCTTGAAGCAAAAGTTTGTTCATTGTTTCGGCATTATTTAAGAATTTTATAGCGTTCAACTGTCACGTGGACATTTTAAAAACTGTTACTCTGACTAACGCTAGGATACTTTTGTCCTGTTGATTTAATGGCTCAAGAGTTTTTGTCTCAGAGCTATCAGATACTGCAAAACACATCCTTATGTCATCACTTACACACAGGGTTTCTGCAGACTTGAACAAGTTAAAATTTAAGACTTTTTAAGACCTTTTTAATACCACCTTATATGAAATTTAAGACCTAAACCTGTAATGGAAATACACATTTTATTACATACATATATGTAATATTTAATGTGTATAAATTAAAAAGAAAACAAAATATCAATGCTGTATCTGTAAAGTGCTTTATCTAAGAGCTTTCTGAAAACACATTTAGGCTCTGTTATTTAGTTAGACCAGTACCAACATGTAGTTGTGTTGTAGTCACAAAAGTAACCAATGAAATACCAATCAATTTACAAACAGCATATACGAACGCAATAAATTAATCAGAAGTTTCATCAAATTTAGAACTGTTTAAATATAAAAATATGATGGAAGAAAAATCAAGCAAAACCATTTCGAAACACTGATTTGAAAGACTGAATAAAATGCTATAATATATAAATCAGATATAAATGTGTTTTGGGGCTTTAGTCGGTGAGCTCCAGAAATAAATGTGATGCTGATGGTGGTGATGTGTCACGTGACGCTGGCGCTAACGTCAGAGCATCATCAGACTGTGCAGTAGGCCATCAGTCTCGGCTCATAATAAAGAGCATATTTATTGACACATCCGTCATCCATCTGTGCTTTCTTAAAGATGGCCTGTCAGGGACTGGCGAAGGGCGAAACCATCCACACGCTGAAAGTGGAGTCTGAGTCTTTGAAAGCCAAACTAGAGGAGGAGAGAGCCAAACTACACGACGTCGAGCGTGAGTAAAACACTCAGCGGCTGTGTGTCAAAACACGGCGAGCTGCCTAGCTAGACTGCATTCATGGACATCACAGCTAATGCGCGGGATGCCCAAATATTCCGTAGCCTATATTTAGGCAGCTCGATTTGAAATACAGAAATATCTGCCAAACACCAGCTAAATGTAAGATATTAATCCATTTCGTCAATGTCCATATGATCTAGTATGTATAAAACGTTCTAATATAGAACGAGCAGTGGAGGGTGGGGGTGGGGGGACATTATCTAAAAAGGCACATAAACTAAAAAGACTGATGAAAAAAGGAGAAAACATAATCTTGTACCAGCCCTAAATTAAAATCTGTTCATGACCACTTTTACTAGAATTGATCACGTTTTATTGTAGGCTTATTTATTGTGGAACATTTTGAGTAACTTGTAGAATTTATGATAGATAATCAGTTAAAGGAATAGATTTTTCCCTATAGATTTATATTACAACTGTGGCTTGTTGTAGCTATTGTTTCTAAATGTGCAGGCTCTTGTTTTTCGTAACAAATGCTATATAGATTAATAAAAAATAAGTAATTATTGACATGATGATGATTAATAGGCTAGCCTTATTATAACACATGTTACCGTTAAGACCTATGGTACATTTTTCAAAAGAGCAAGTACAAGCCAAAATGGAGAGCCATGTGTACAATGGGTTCTAATGATGAGTGATGGAAAAACCTGGCCTTCAGATATTCCAAGAGATGGCATCGATTAAATCATTAAGAGCATGGTTAACTGTTAAGGAGTAAGACATAAACAATATCAATATAAGAACATGTTAGATTAACTTCCCATGGCATGCTGAATTAGAACATTCTGTCAAACTGTAGCCTATAAGTGCCCAAATAATATAAAATACATTATATATCGTATGTAAACAAGTAATTGTTAACTAGGCTATTACTTTATTGCAGTTATGTTGCCAACCAACTTTGCATGTGTGGATGATCGCACAAAATATAAGCAAACAAATAATAAACCTTATGAGAGTGCATGATCCGGGACTCCACTAAAACAGTTCACACTTTTGATTTATTCCTGTGATAAATTTATAATTTGAAATATTCGTAATAGTTTTTTTTTTGTGGTTTTTTTTTAGGCATGAATTTTTGGAACTGCTACCGTGTCTTTTAAGTTTGTGGCAGAATTTAGTGCAAAGTCTTGAAAAAACATACACGATGTCTTTTAGGAGGCCATACAATTACACTGACTAAGTCTGCATTAAAGAAATTTTCTGTACTATTTATACACGTTCACTGTAATAGTGTGCTGAAGTACTATGCTGGCACCCAGCATGCTTTTTTTACTACTGGTTTTATGCTTGTTTTGTAATGTTTGGAGTTGATTGTCACTATTGCTGTGTTTTATATGTTATGTTTATGTATGTGCTTGTTTAAATGGCTGTTCGGATGGCACATCTTTTAAAGACATGATTATGTTTCAGTTGTAAATGATTATAAAAAGTCTGTTCAAAACTAACTTGAAATGTGAAAATTTTAAAAATCTCAAAATTGATTATAGTTTTAGTATATGTGTTTACTTGGAATACTCTTGCACTGATTAGTATTTTTTTCTTCTTCAATATAAAGGTGCAAGTTCCCAACTACAGTAAGTAGAAAACTAATAATCATAGTGGTGATTTCAAATGAGCATATTCAAAGCATGTGTTTTCTGGGGACTGATTTGTTTTGTTTTGCAGATTGTTTTTTTGAAGGATGTGAAAATATATTATACAACTTTTATGAATGTCATCTAGACACCAAGACAACAGTACTCACCATACAAAATGCAACAATGATGATAATACTATTTTTAGATTTAAAAAAAAAAAAAGTACTAATCAATGCAAGTGTAATTTATTTATGCTGCAATGCATGCTGGGTGCCATCATAGTACAATTTTACTTATGAAGGATGTAAAAATATATTATACAACTTTTATGAATGTCATCTAGACACACCAAGACAACAGTACTCACCATACAAAATGCAACAATGATGATAATACTATTTTTAGATAAAAAAAAAACAATTACTAATCAATGCAAGTGTAATTTATTTATGCTGCAATGCATGCTGGGTGCCATCATAGTACAATTTTACTTTTGGAATTGAGGATGCTATTGTTTGTCAACAGTAATGTTTTTGTAATTCGTTTATAAAATTTAAAAACCTGCCAATTTGTTACAGTCAATCGGCATATATCCATCAAAAATATAATAGTAATGCATCTTCCTGATGCTAAGATGAGTTTTTAGGAAAAGTGCTACTTCAGGTGGTGATGTGGTTAATGGAAATTTGTTTTTCTGACTTAAGTGCATCAGGTAGCGGAGAAGATAGAGGCTCTGGGTCAGTTTGTCATGAAGACCAGGAGAACCTTAAAAGGACATGGGAATAAAGTGCTGTGCATGGACTGGTGCCGTGACAAGAGAAGAATCGTCAGCTCCTCTCAGGTAACAGGACATACTGTCACAGTACCTAACCACTGTTGCCATATATAGAGACAGATGTTTTTTTAAGGAAATGTGATGTGTTGTCCAAAAAGAGTTAGAAGCTGCAGTATATCGGTTATCCACAATCTTTATTATATTTAATGAGCGACGCCTTCTTGTTCCTTCACAGCGAGGCAAAAGTAACTCTCCAAAACCTTCACCCACTCTTTTTCTCTCTGGTGGAATGTGCTGCCAATCTCCACCCAAACTGCAGCGACAATCACATCTTTCAAAGTGCAACTGAAAACACACATATTCCACAGGCACTTAAACAACCCACATTCTTAAACCAATGCACTTTCCAATGCACTCATTTCTCCACATTGCTTCTTAATCTAGTTGTATAATAAACCTGGCATCGTGTATTACGAATATTGTTGGCCCCTTGACAAATTGCTTTGTTCCTCGTCTTTTGTAAGTCACTTTGGATAAAAATATCTGCTAAATGAATTTCTTTAAAAAAAGTCTTTACTGAAATGTTGAATCTCTCCTATAGGATGGAAAAGTCATTGTGTGGGATGCATATACAACCAATAAGGTAATTTTTTCTATCTGTGTCATACATTACTCTAGGGTGATGTTTTGCAGTGCTTGGAGCTATTCAAAATAATAATCTGCATGTTTTATAGTTGTAATGCACTCTAATGGAAACCCAGGGGGTATTAGTGCCAAACTAATCTGGCAGCCATATAAACACACACATGGACACATCAGGCATGCAGAATCTTGTTCATGTGTATACTGGACCATTTAAATACTCAGACATATGTGTACATAGTATGTTTTAGTGTTTTTTTTAATAGCCTCCATTCTCATTACATGTTTTGTGCATGAGTTTAATAACATGTATGGAGAAAAGCAGTTTAAATAACCAGTTTTTCCGTTTGTGTATGTCGTTTGTTGAAATGAAAAAGAACAGAAACGTAATTTTAGACATTAATTAGGCATGTTTGCTATTGCAATGCAGTTAGTTTAGTTCAGAAGAACCCAGATCTTGATCAGTCACCCATTCCTCATTTTCATGTATATTATGTACATTATTATGCTGCTTATTACATGGTTACTTACAAATAAATAAATAAATAAATACTTAATTTAAGTTTAAATAAATTGATGATGTAAGTTGTTCTATGCTGAATTACTTTGGTTTGTTAATAAATATCTGCAAAATGCATCCAGACCCCTTGTCTTGATCAAAATGTAAATTATTTTTTTGTGCTGTGTGTTGTACAGGAGCATGCGGTCACTATGCCCTGCACCTGGGTCATGGCATGTGCTTATGCCCCTTCTGGCTGTGCTGTGGCTTGTGGGTAAGTATCATGAGAGGGTCATAAGCATTAGTAGTAGTAGTAGTAGTAAGTTTTGTAATTTTATAGGTCAATGCTGATCTTAACTTCAGAGAATATGAGCTGTTATATTATTTAAGAACTATGTCTTCCAGTCATAATTAAAAACTCCTAAAGTGCAGCTTTAAAATGAAATCCAAATATCAGTCAAAAAATAAAATATATTATTTGCTGTGCATTTCTGCAAAATGTTAACATTTCTCTTTGTCTTTCATTCAGTGGTTTGGATAATAAATGCTCCGTCTATCCTCTTTCTTTGGATAAAAATGAGAACTTGGCAGCTAAGAAGAAATCTGTGGCCATGCACACCAACTATCTGTCTTCCTGCAGCTTCACCAACTCTGACATGCAGGTGAGAGAGAGTGAGTGTGTGTGTGTGTGTGTGTGTGTGTGTGTGGCAGATTCTGACATCAAGTGGTGATGGGACATGTGCATTATGGGATGTTGAGAGTGGGCAGCTGCTGCAGAGTTTCCATGGTCACTCGGCTGATGTTCTTTCATTGGACCTGGCACCCTCTGAAACAGGAAACACCTTTGTATCAGGGGTCAGATCCTCAAAACTCCATCTGCACATATGTGTTTTACACACACATCCCAAACCCCCACTCACACAACACATGTGATTACTATCATTACAGCTGAATCAGCAAAATACTCATTTCAGTTTATAAAGGTGAATGAAAGCACTGGATATAAATGATCATTTCTCAATGGCCATCATTAACATTGTAAGTCGTGGATTGATTTTACATATTAGGTTGTTGTTCAGTCACAATGTCAGTTTGGGTAATGTGTAGCTATTCTTAGGACATCATTCTCCTGAGATTCACTCTGTTTTGTGTGAGTGTTGTTCTGCCGGTCTCTAAAGTGCTGTGTGTGTTTTTCAGGGCTGTGATAAGAAGGCTAATGTGTGGGACATGCGCTCAGGACAGAATGTTCAGTCCTTTGAAACGCATGAGTCTGACATCAACAGTGTGAAGTGAGTGACCCGCCGCCTGGCACTTTCTGATAATGCTCTTAAGCTACGTTCACACCACAGTTCTTTTCCCTCACTGCATGACATTGTGAACAGCAAAAATCACATTGAATCTGATATTTTGAATTCTGATCTGGGCCACTTTATTATGTGGAAATAAATCATATATATCAGATCTGACTTCAGTGTAAACAGTTGGGTTGGACATGTTTTTATGCCAATCTACTGACATTTATCATAATTGTTTATTTGGCATGAAAAAGCTGAAGAACAACAAAAGCAGCCATTGATGTCAAAGTGTTATATAGTACAGGAGTAATTTTATAACATTTATATACATATTGATATATAGTTACAGTATATACTGTATATATACACTACTAGTAAAAAAGTTTGGAATAATTAAGATTTTAATTTTTAAGATTTTAAAGTCTCCTATGCTCACCAAGGCTACATTTATTTGATCAAAATACAATAATACTGCAAAATATTATTGCAATTTAAAATAACAGAATTTTTTTTATTATTATATTGTAAATTGTAATTTATTCCTGTAATGGCAACGCTGAATTTTAAGCAGCCATTACTCTTCAGTGTCACATGATACTTCAGAAATCATTCTAAAATGCTGATTTGGTGTTAAAGAATTTCTTATTATTATCATTGTTGAAAACGATTGTGCTGCCTGATATTTTTGTGGAAAACGTGATACGTTATCATTCAAATATTAAGGGTAAGTAAAACGTTAAAAAGAAGAAGAAATTAATACTTCTATTCAGAACTGAAATTGACCAAATGTGACAGTAAAGAAAATATGTTAAAAATTTTACAAAAGATTTCTTTCTTAAATAAATGCTGTTCATTTAACAAAACACAACAGCAAAAGCAATAACAACAATAATAATAAAACAAATGTGAGTGAAAAGATCTTTGGAGTACTGCATATAAGCGGTAAACACATGTATTTATTTATAAGTGTAAGATTGTGCAGGAAAGTTATTATTTAACTATTCAGATTTGGAATGTTTTCAGTGTTTGCTGCATAACTCTACCTCTACTCTCATAACTCTAGTACAGTGTCTTTAGATACAGTATGTGGACATCCAAAAAATGCACCCATATGTGTATTAAATGTTTAAATTTAAAACCATCAGCACTTAGTTGGCCTTTGCTGCTATAACAGCTTCCACTCATCTGTAAATAATTTTCACTAGATGTTGCATCATGCCTGTGGGGATTCACTTCCATGCAGAGCATCAGCAAGGTCAGGCACTGATGTTGGAAGATGAGTTTTGACTTGCAGTTACCATTTCAATTCACACCAACGATGTTCATTTGGGTTCATGTCTGGGTTTTATGCAAACCTGTTCTTCCACATCAGATTCAGTGGAGCATTTCTAAATGGGCCTCTCTTTGTACACAGGGGCGCAGTCAGTGTCATGCTAAAACACAAAATGTCCCAATTATACTTAAATTGCTTATATTGGGAGATTGTATGCCTGTATGCTAGATTTGATGTACTTTTTACACATGTTCAAAGCTGAAATAGCCAAACCTGTTTATTGGAATAGGGTGTCCACATAATTTTGGCCATGCATGCACAGCATATACTTCAGTGATAAAATGGTAAAAGCTGACCAACCTCACAAACCAAAAACTTTTAGGAAAGAGTTAGAATTTACGGAGCCCCGCACATGACATGCAAGAAAAAATAAATAAATCGCAATCTTGCGCACAATTTATGAATCGAGGGAATGAAATAGTAAATCGTGCACACGATTTAGACTACTATTTTTTTCCTGCATGCCATGTGCGGGGCTTCGTAAGAATTAGGAATTTGTCATGTGAACATAGCCATAGTACTGTCTATGTGTTTTAATTGTCTATGAAGCCGTTTGCACCGTGCTATTTTGTCACTTAATATTTTATTTTGGTGCATCAATCTATTAAGTTGCATAGTATATAAAACCATGATCTGCACTAGTCTTTTAGCATTTTATTTTACATTAATCACCAGCAGGACAAAACACAAACTTTTCAGCTCAAGGCCTTCTTTAGTGCGTTGAACAATTCAACTACTCAACCCACTTTTAAATCATTAATTATATTGATGTCATCATTCATTAGCCAGTGTCGAGTCTCTACAAACACACATATTCCAATTAAATGCTTGACAATTTCCATTTGTATATAACACAAATTTTCACATCTACTAATACATTGCACAATATACCCATGGCTATAACATGACTTACAGAGGATCCCATATTTATAACAATTTCACAATTAAATAGTTTAATAAATAAACAATCACCATCATCTACTACCTGAATTAAATTTCAAAATATATAACAGTGAAAAGTAAAATGATTAAAGTCATCAGAAATACATTGTCATAAATAACCAATTGATCTTCACAATGTAAATGCTCAAGATATACTCCACAAAATATTAAAATGGATTCGACCAATTATAACTCATTACAGGGAAAGATCTAAATCCTCATTCATGCCGTCTGGAGCCAGTGATTTAAGTTTATAAATTCAAAATGCTACTCGTTTTAATAATTCTTTGTTTAAATTACCTCCTCTACGTATTCCGAAAACTTCCTCTACACCTATACATTCCAGTTGTTTGATGTCATGTCCCAGCTCGTTGATATGTCTAGCTACTGGAGAAGTTATGTCTTGTCATCTAATACTTGATTTATATTCATTAATTCATCATTTCAACTGACGCAATGATTTTCCTATATATATATATATATATATATATATATATCTTTTGACAAGGACATTTTAACATATAGATCACAAGTTGTTATAAATTACGAGTTGAGCAGGTAATACAAGATGTAATTTCAAAGCATTTCCGTGTTATTGGACATATAAACTGTTTACACTTTATCAAGTTCTGGCACGCGGCACAATTTCTGCAGGGGAAACAGCCTTGAATAAAAACATACTTTTTTTCTCCTCATTACATCTGAATTTACCAACATATCTGACAGGTTACGTGATCTTTTAAAAGTAAACAGTGGGCGATACTGAAATGTATCGTTCAGAGATTCAACAGATGATAATATGTGCCAATGTTTATAAATAATAGATTTTATTGTATTACTGCGCCCACTGTATGCAATGACTCTTCAATCTCAGTTACTGTCACACCCCAAAAATGTATCGAATCACGACTCGTTTCCATTGTAAGTGTAATAATAGATGATATTTTCAAATTAATGAATGACAAAAATAAGACTAATTCTCTTTCAGAACCTGAGCATATCATAAAACAATCATCAATATATTGCATCCAAACCTTAATATATGAATAAAACGGATTGTTACTGTAGATATGATCCTGTTCAAATTTACCCATGAAAAAACTGGCATAATTTGGTACTATTGGAGTGCCAATCGCTGTACCTTGAACTTGTAAATAAATATCTTTCTCAATTGAAAAATAGTTTTTTTGTTAAGACTAATGTTGTAACGTCCATTATATCTTGTACTCTGATGTCATCATCCTTACAGTAAAAATTTAGTGCATCTAAGCCTTCGTCATGAGATATGTTTGTGTAAAGAGAAGTAACATCGAGTGTTACAAGCCAATCCGTCATGCTTATACAAGAAATTTAATTCGATTTATTCCCAAAAATTGGTAGTATCTTTTAAATAAGATGGTAATTTCTTCACTATTGGTTGAATCAAAGAATCGAGGAATTTAGATATTGTTTCTGTCAATGACCCATTTCCTGAGACAACTGGTCGCATTGGAGGATCTTCTAGTGATTTATGAATTTCAGGTATCTCATTTTAAATTCCTTTAAATCATGTCCATTAATCCATTTCCTATCAAATCCATTTGTAAAATGTCATCAATTTGTTTTTTATAGGACTGGGTTTTATAGGACACAAGTTTCTTATAAAACGTCTTATGTAGCATCACTTTTATTTATTCAATATATATTAGAATTCATAACAACAATCTTAAAATTTCACATTTCTAAAAAACTTAACCATAAAGTGATTTGAGACATTATATGGTACAAAAGATAACACTTTGCTCAATACTGTAATTGTTCAGTGAACAATTCTTTGTCCGACAAGTTAAATGCAATATTATCTTGTTGATTTAAAATAGCACATTTGGGAGAAGTAACCTCCCGAAGTCCTTTTCCTTTTCCCCGATGCTCTCTTCTAGTTGGTTGATTGCTTTTGGAATGGCGGGGCTGGCCCAAAAAAGGTTTTCTTTGTCAAGATGTAGTTTGAGAAGACGACGTATAGGAATCATCTGATTCAGAAGCACTTGTGAGTCTCATTCCCCCTCGTTTTTGCTGAGGTTTTGGTTTATCCGACATCCAAGTGTAGACTTTGAGGTCTTTATAGTCCATGGTGTCTCTTTTGAACTGGTGAATCTTGACCTTAAGTAATTCCAAGTAAATACACTTACGAGCTGCTTTTAACTTCCGCTGATAAAGACTGCTTCTCTCAAAGACTATTTCTTTACACTGTTTTCTGCTGGCGCTTGAACACACTTTCCTTATTTTCTTCACAACAAATGGCCAAGCAAGTGCAGACACTGACAAGATACGCGAATTTATACTGAACAATATTACTAAACTTGCAATTAAATACACAAAAGACAATTAAAAGACAAAAAAGACCATTTATATTCTGTAATATTTTCACTGACACTATAGAATGAGAACAAAACTCTGGATAATGACTACTTTTTCCTATACAGCTGCTTTATAGCTGAATCCAATTTGTTTCATAATTGATGAACTTTGAGACACTGTTATTGAACTGAACTGAATCAACATTGAACTGAGCTGAATAATAGGGCTTTTCGCACCGCTTTAGTTCCAGAACTAAATGTACAGTACTAAAGTACTGGGACAATTTTGCGCGAACTATTTCCCAGTACCATTTAAAGGGTTGCATTCGCACCGACAGTGTGTACTAAGAAGTGACGTAAGCTGGTCGACAGCGACGTCATTTGTGCGCGGCGTTCAACAACAGAAACAAAGAAGAACAACATTAACAACAGGAGGATGGAGGACGCTGTGATCGGAGCTGTGTTTTTGTTGTGTCTCGCGGGTTTCACAATAATGGACATGGAAAGTCGACGTATACGCAAA